TTGGTCTTGTAGATGGGTCAATCATGTCGATTACTCACAAAGCAAACACCAGATTTTGCGCCGTTTGATGTGTAGAAAGAATTGTGAGCAGAAATGACTTAAACTCAGAACGATGTGTATGTACTGTAAAGTGATATTTTCCTGCTATTTTCATAACATTTAGACACTTGGTATCCTCCCTCTGTGTCATTCAATACTGCTGAAACCTTTTAAGTTTCTCTGCAATTATCAATTTGATGAGGCCTGTAAACTGGCTTCTTTCAGGTTAACTTCATAACTTGAGAATAAAGATATTCATTTATTTATTTAGATCTGCCCAGATCCAACCTGATAGGCTAGACCGAATGACACAGGCCTAATTGACTGGTTTTTCCGGGCAACTCTGAAGGCCACCCTGGCAACTGCTGTATTAACTAATCAGGTTTCGATGTCCCGGTTAGAAAGGTAGTTTTTCCCATAAAATGCCAAAGCCTAATTGGTTATCTCAGCAGTTACTAGGATGGCCACCCTAGTAATCACTGAAATAACCGACCAGGCTTTGGTATTTCAACTGGAAAAGTACTTTTCCATAAATTAAAAAAATGCAATTGGCTATCTCACATGATGAGAGGTAAAGAGGGAAGGTTGGGCATAGGGCTAGCAACCCTACCCTGTAAAACCAATCCAATGGCTAAAGAAACTTCTAAGCACAAACAAAATATAAAAAATAAAAACAAAATTATTCCTCACTGGAATCAGAGAGATGAAATGACTCCGGTTGGTGAATGCCTTTGGGAAGCTAATTGGCCGATGCGTCTTCTCTCTCTCGATGAAAGCGAAAGTAAACGTGGAGACACGGAATGTCTGCACCATATTTGAACCCAGCAAGGCAGCCCAGATTACAAAAGAGATGAGAAGATATCACATCGAAGTGTCAAGAATTTGCGAAAGCAGATGGAATGGAAGTGGACTCTTCAAACTGTCAACTGGATAATCAATAATCTACTCCGGTCACCCAGACAACAACCATGAGCGCACTGTGTTTTGGGGTGGCTGTCATGATGTCACCAACAGCATCGAAGGCTCTCATACAGTGGGAACCGATCTCCTCCAGGATCATGACAGCAAAATTCAACTCAAAAGGAAGGAAGGTCACAATCGTACAATGCTACACGCCTACAAATAATGCAGATGAAGAGAAGAAGGAGGAATTCTACAACAACTGCAATCAGTACCGGACAAGACCCTGTCCCAGTTGGTGACATCAAAGTTCTGATGGGCGACATGAATGCCAAACTGGGAGTGGAAAACACAGGAAGAGAACTAACCATGGGTCGAGAAGCACTCGGTGAGGTGATGAACGAGAATGGAGAATTGTTTGCAGATTTCTGCGCATTCAACGACCTGGTGATTGGAGGCACTGTGTTCAAGCACAAGGATATCCACAAAGCGACATGGATTTCACCAGATGGATACACTAAAAATCATATCGACTTCATCTCAATGTGAAGAAAGTGGAGACGCAGCCTACTTGACACAGGGTCAAGAAGGGGAGCAGATGTAAGCTCAGACCACTCACTGTCTAGTGTAAGGAACCTTCCAAATCAAGTTGAAAGCTTTCAAGGAAGTTGGTGATAGACCACAGTTCAAGTTCAACATCCGAAAACTGACGGACGAAACTACAAAAGAAATCTTCACGGCAGCCATCAAGACAAAATGGGAGATATCAAGCAACATCCCTAAAGAAACATGTGTGGATGAACACTGGGACGCTTTGAAAGAGATGAGGAAAGAAACCTGCATAACCGTATTAAGAAGGAAGAAGAAAGAAGATAAGGAATGGATCTCGACGGATACATGGCAGCTGACAGAGAGGAGGATGGTGAAGCAGAAGATAAACCAATGCAAGGATGCACAACGACAAGAGGAACTGAGTACAATGTATAAAACACTGGACAAAGAGATCAACACAGATGAAACCAATAAAAGATGATGGAGGAAATTTAATTTCTAAAGAGGAGAAACAAAGGAAACGATGGGCCGACCACTTCAAAAAGCTCTTGAATCGACCACCACCTACACTTCGTCCAGAAATACCACCTGCAGCCCAGCCACAGAACTACAAGTTAACACAAACCCTCCAACAAAAGTCAATGTCCTGAGCGCCATAAAGCTACAGAAATGCGGGAAAGCAGCAGGACCAGATGGAATCCTGCCAGAAGCACTGAGAAGAGACGCAGAGACACCAGCAGCGGACATGCTCACACCACTATTGCAGAAGGTCTGGAAGGTACCGGCAGATTGTAAGAAGGGCTACCTTGTCAAACTCTCGAAGAAGAGAGACCCAAGTCTTTGCAAGAACTGGTGCGGAATCACTCTCCTGCCCACCCCAAGCAAAATATTAAGCCACATCATCCTGGAGAGACTAAAGGGTGCGCTGGATTCAAAACTACGACCCGAACAGGCTGGCTTCAGGAAGTACAAATCATGTGAGGACCAAATTGTAACCCTACGCATCATCATATAACAGAGCATAGAATGGCAGTCAACCCTCTACTCCAACTTCATCGACTTTGAAAAGGCCTTTGACAGCGTCGACCGGGAAGTAATTAAGCAGTTGCTTCAACACTACGGAATACCACAAACCTTTATCAATCTCATTCAACAACTATGTGAAGACACCACATGCCAAGTAATTCGCAATGGGAAGCTCAGTGATGCTTTGAAGCGAAGACAGGAGTAAAACAAGGCTGTCTACTACTATCCATGATATTCCTGATTGTAGTAGACTGGATCATGCAGCAAACAGGGAGGAGAGGGGGATACGCTGGACCGCGGAAAAGAACCTAGAAGATCTGAATTTCGCCGATGACTTACGTCTAATGTCACATAAACTTGAAGATCTACAGGCGAAAACTAACAAGTTGACAGAAGAGGCAGAGCAGCGAAGACGGGACTTTAAGTGAACGTAGAGAAGACAGAGGTGATGACGATAACCAATCAACAACGAGCAGCAATCATCATCAACAGGAGAAACTTAAAGGAAGTAGTCTCTTTGATCTATCTAGGCAGCACTGTTTCAACTACAGGCGGCACAGACGAGGACCTCAAAGCCAGCCAGGATCGGAAAGACAGCGAGACAGGCGTTCATTAACCTGAAACCAGTGTGGAGATCTTCTGCACTCAGCATGTGGAACAAGATCCGGATTCTCAACACCAATGTCAAGTCAGTGCTGCTATATAGATCAGAGACTTGGCGTGTTACGAAAGGCATTTCCAAGAAACCGCAGACATTCATCAACAACTGCCTACGCTGGCCCGTTACTGAAGATCAGATCAGAAGGCCAGAAAGAATAAGCAACAAGGAATTCTGGCTGGCGATGAACTAACCAAGAACCTATCACCCAACAAATATGCAGAAGGAAGTGGAGATGAATTGGACATACACTGAGAAGACCGATTGGGGACATCAGGCGCCAGGTCCTCGAGGGGAATCCAAAAGGGAAATGACGAGTTGATCATCTGAGAGTGACATGGAGGAGATCATGTGAGAAAGAAATGGAAGCTTGTGGGCAGTGGTGGCGCCAGGTTTAAAAGACTGGAGAGAACAGAGTGCAACAGAGATATGCTAGTGAAGCTCTATGTTCCATTAGGAACCCAAGGAACAAATAAAATAATGAATAAATTGGCTGTCTCATCATTTGCTAGGGTGGCCTTTAAAGTCACCCTTAAAGTCTCTTGTTTTTCCCGTTCACTTTCATTAGCGACATTTTCATAGGATTGGATGGTTTCTCCGCCTAAAAATAACTTGTATGAAAAACTCCCAGAAGTATACTTGATCGAATTTTATTCATTTGAATGAACTAGGCTTTGCAACCATTTTACTCAGAACTAACTTGAAGAGACTGAAAGCATCATCTTTGTTTTTGTCCGATAAAACTGTTCATCTTTGTATAAATTAACAAATCGCACAAGAAACGGTTTTTTTTCAAAGAAAAGCAATCAACTAAATTCAATTGATCTCCAAATAAGTGAATTAAACGAAGAAAAATACGTCAATTTCATCAAAATTCCCACTAATGACAAAATTTAAGGAGCGAAAATCAGCCGATAAGAATTTATATACCATTAATAACCATCAGATCTAAGAGATAATAAGCTAAAGTGGATCAGAGTTGTTAGTTATAAATACCTATAAGCAATTAAATTGTTTCACTTAGGTTTATGTTTGCAGTGTAAATTGCCTTTAACTTGATGCAGAAACGTCTTTCATTCACAGAAGAAATCAGTTTGCACCATCATCATATATGATTAAAGAACTTTATCCGAATGAAGCTGATATAGCTTAACCGTCAAAAACTAGTCTTATATTGATCTGTAAAATCCAACTTTTTAATTATAGTGGTGACTTAGTATTCACTAGAATAGATTCATCAAAATGAGACATTATTGTACCGAATATTCACAGTATTAAGTCCACAAGATTCGCTTGTTTCTAACTGATCGTTTAAAAGACAGGAAATACAAGTACACAGTTCTTTAACATTTTACGCTTTTGTCATCTCATGAACAAGCCAGTTTTATTCAAAAAAAGACCAATGATAAGGATAAATTTCAAAAACAAAACAAAACAACAATAAATAAGTAGAAGAAACATAAAGCAACTAAAATGTAAAAGCGGTACATGAGTTTCTATCTTTATCATGCAAGCAGAATGCATTTTTCAATCACTTTTTTAAAACTACAAAATCTGTACAAAATATTAATAAAGCAATATAAACAAAATAAATAAATAAGTCAATAAATCAACAAGTAAATAGAATCAATTCACACTAACACTCATCTTCAGCATTATCAAACAACAGGAATAACAAAATAATTGATTTAGCGCATAAACGAAAAGAATCCAGCGAAGCAATACTGCAGCGTTTACCTGTGTACTATAGACATACACAACAATATACATTTTAGATAACTTTTTGAAGAATACACATTAATAATGTTTATTTCGTGAACCAAGGTTATTTTCTCAAGTCGAAGCGTTGACGCATATCATCGATTACATCATCAGTCAGTTCTACATCCGTCATTAGCGCAGCCATATCTTTCAGTGAATCCTGATAACTGTCGCGTCGATTATTGAGACTACTATTATAAATAGTATTAGATGTTGTGTCTATAAATGAAAAGAGAAAATAGTAAGGAATTATTCATAATTCTGATAGTTATTACATAACTTGAAACTGAGATGTTTATAAATGAATAAAATGAGAAATTTGTCACGAGTCTTTATTTTTAAAGTGGAAAAATACCTATTGACTAATCAAAGTAACTGCTAATTTGATAAACAGACACAAACTTCTATTTTGGATATCAACTTGGAAGCTGGTAGTTTTCAATATGTGATTATTGAATGCTAGGATGGTATAATAGGAAGCCAAAACATCAGGGTTAATCACTTTTCACACAAAAGCAAACTTATATAGTGGATAAAATACCTGTCAACCCATGCGTCGATCATCAATGAGATGTTCTTTTGAGAACCAACTGCCTTCCATCCCCAATGAGAAGAAGAGAGTTGTTGGGCAAAGAATAACCCACTTGTAAAGCAACTATATTCATCTGAAAACTTCATCAACTGGAATTAAAGAAAGCAGTTTTGCCACTTGCTGTGTAACGTGAGAATAATACAACCAAATACAGTAATTTTGAAATCTCCAAGGTTTGTTTAACATTGCAGTATTAGGGTTATCGAGAGCGACTGGACAGCCTATTAATAACACTTGTTAGCCACTTCGAAGTGGTTTAGATATAACTACATTTGCTGTTTTATTCGTGTAGGTCACAGCTTATCAGCAAAATAGACAATCACACAGGCTAGGCAACTGAGTTGCCGAAACCACTTCAACATGGACTTAGATGTCTTTTTTAGCTGTCATTCTTAGTCTAAAACTATGCATGCTATAAACAGAGGCCATAATTCTAGGCGTTTCCAGTCTACGTACTTAGCCGGATTGAGTTGAGATAACTGACTCGTTTGTGGCTAGCAGTGGAATCTAGGACACGTGTTTCGTCCTACTTGAGACTTATCGGCTGGATGTAATTACACCCAGTGAGTGATGTTGTTCCTCATGAGACTCGATCGCAATACCCATGGCTTCAAACTGTTATCCACTACAACACTGAAGCACGAGGAGCAAATGACAATGAATTGAGGTATTTTGCACAATTCGCTCTCTCGAGGAAAAATAGTTCTGAACATACGAATGACTTATGGTCCTTCCAGACTCATTTCACTTTCATTTTCGATACCCGCATGACGTAACAACCAATGGGTCATGAATTTGAGCTATACTTCGTCTATCAATGTCTGAATAGTAAGGTAGTAAATATCACTCCTTACGCGGGAGACAAGTTTTCCATTACTTAGTACACAAAATTCTAAGTGATTTCTTACGTAGACAACTGATTATCTCCAAACTGTTACCTATCTATGGGAAATGCAATTGCAGCAATATAAATATGATATAATCACCAGCCAATCGATGAGAAAGCTAAGGTCATTAGTATTCATTTAGCTTATATCAATGAAACCAAGGTTATATTTTTGTTTCTTGTGACGACAAAAGTCATAGGGACAGATCATAGATTAGCTGAATTGAAACCATAAACAATATGGAATAGCTTACTGGATGCATTTTTAAATGTTTTTCTCATAACATTAACTTGTTTGTTGATAATGATTCAATGTGGAAAGTGTTAACCATTGAATTCCAGTAAGATATACCCTTTAAATGCATGACCTGAAGACTCGTTCGCAAATGAAGTGTAGAATGTTTTTCCTAGTAAGCTAATGTTAAATTAGAATAGAGCAACTATTCAAGGAATCAATGTAATTTTCAGTGGTTTATGACAGTTTCTGATAGAAAAATAAGTGAACCGAAAATGCCAAGGAACCAAATATTTTTAACCGTACCGTTTGAAGAAATCTAAACGTTCGCGAAATTCTAAATCGGATTCACTTCCTGAGTGAATAATCCTGAAAGGTTACCTAACAAAAGCTTATTTGTATGGATTAATGTTTGCTATCATTATAATCATCAGTTCAGAGAGACAATAAACATGTTGAGTTTCCTCCTACTAGTGGATGAGTTGGGAGTCAGAATACGTGGTTTACAGGATTCGTTCTGGTGTATCTGTTTAAGTTGGGCATATCAAACCATACTGAGCTCCTAGGTTTGAATGACATCAATGTGAAAGTCCTCACTGATGTCCACTCAAGAAAGAACAACTGTTTATTGCCACCTAGTTCTCCACCTTACGTCAATCTATGGTCTACACTGTCTTGTTAAGTGTTTGTTACTGGTCTCTTCACCTTAAAGTGAGTAAATTATGATTTAACTGAATAGTATGATTGAATGAATACATCTCGGCAACCACATTTAGATTTATGCACTACGTTGTGAGTCAAACTCTTGTATGAGATCTAATGATGCGAATTATTAGTGTAAACTTTGATGGGTGGAGTTAGAAACCGACCCAAGTAACTGATTGAAAGTCGGGTATTTACATTGACCAATAGGCCGTGGGTACTGCACGCGTCTCAACGATGAACGAATCACAGATCAAACATGCGCTCCGGAAACAATGGAGAGAACATCTAACTAACCCTTATACCCACTTGATAATATTTCAGTGCTAGATACTTTAAAGTTCAGTAGACTAAAGGCTAAATTGCTCACCAGAGTCTGGACTCAGTATACGGAACAGGTGTGCTATGGAAGCTACACGTATGCTTGTTGAGATGTGAGGTACTGTAGAGAATGAGTGAACAGTAGAGTGCACATAGGTTTGAAGATACGCTTAGTTAGTGAGTGTTGACAAGCAAAAAACTTAGGTTCAAGAGGTCCTACCAATTACCTCCAGTTATCTATCACAGAAAACAATCCATCGCATTTTGGGTAATTTAACTATTTAACAAAGAATTTTAGAATCTACATGATAGCTCCATGTTACAAGCTACACAAGGATGGCTGAATTGGTAAACGTCTATCGAAGAGAAAAAAACAATACAGATTACCTTGATTTGGTGTATCTAAAATCACCTCCAAATTCAATTTTCAAGGATGGGAAAGGTTTTTACTCGCCCACATTTCGGTACTAGGGGTTACGAGTTATTTAAACAAACAAACAGAAAGAAAAGATCAATATGGAACTTTGCAGAAAAGTGCATCGAATCAAGTTGTCACACTTTATAGTAGCACATAAACAAAAAAGTAGACCGAAAAAGACTGACACCAAAGTAGTCGAAGATGTATAGGAGGAAAGGGAATTTGAAAACTAAGGTTAGTTAAAACATCCAAGCTTTAGAAGACATCAAAGAGTGAATATGTTTGCACCGTAATGACCGATTTTCAACCATATCATCAAGAGTCCTCAACCACTGATTCCTAGCATCTCAGGGACTCCAGTCGGGTAGTCTATAGTTCCCTGGACGGTTGAGACCAACAGTTAGAGAATTTATGTCCTGGTGCCACGTCTTGATGCAGTAAGTTGGACATTTAACCAAATTTTATCTGCGCTGGAGAGGTGAGGGATTTTACAGGGATGTTACACCTGACACCTAAGAATGGAACAATATTATTTTCTTCTCCTACAGTGAATCTAGTCACTAGATGAACAGTACTGGATTTAGTAGCAGGTGTTTAGCAGCCAAAAGGGAACCTTAGATATAAATTTCATGTTTATTGATAGTTATCAATAAGGGTTGTCTACAGCCCTGAAGAAATTCATGTTTCACCAAAAATCTGAACCTGCAGCAGTATCAAAGTAAGAGGCCTTACTAAGTAGCTGTGCCTACGATGACTGAAATTCTGTATTTCTGGACAATTTATACTGATTGTGCACTCAGCTGATAGACAGACTTCGATTAGTATTACCAACTGGAGATCTACATTGCTTAATACCTGGTGACAAGTTAGAATACGTAATCCAATCCTAAAGGAGGTAAGTTATCATCTGATTAGTAGTGATAGGGTATCCTATCTTGGCATTGAATGAGCCTAACTTGAATCTTTGAAGACTGTAGTAACGCCTTAGGTTGAGAGTCTCCGTTCATAAAAAAACTTCAAAGATTTAATGCTGAAGAAAGCGTGCCATAATGTTGTGTCACTTAGTTTGGCAGTCACACTGAAAACGTTGCCAACACCTTCTCATACCTGACGGTTATACTAGTTATTTTCAAGTGGTCGATTCGCGCACTATTAAAGCGTCAAAAATATCATTCTATCAACCTTAAACATTTGAGAAATATTAAGGTATTACGCTAACAACACTTAATCTATTTGTGTCAATAAATTAAAGCGTAATATGAATTTAAATTCGACTGTTGGCTGAATTCAATAATAATAATAATAATAATAATAATAATAATAATAATAATAATAATAATAATAATAATAATAACAATCATTTTGACTATCCGAGATAGTCGTGGTTTGGCAGACTGGCTCAGTTGATACAGCGTTGGACCGGAGACCCGCTGGTTCGAATCCAGCCACGGTCCAAATTTTCACTTCGCCTTCAATCGTCACTCAATATAAGTAATACTAATGATAATAATAGTAGTAATAACAATAGAATAATGATATAATAAGTGACAGTAATGGTAGTAATGATAACAACAGTAATAATAATGGGGTAGAGTTTGTCTAAATTATACTGTGATATTATTACTTTGTTTGTAAAGAAAAATATGAGTTGTCAAATCACGAATCAGACATTTATGAAACTAAATAGAATTTCATTTGTGTCTTATCTCAAAACCGATTAGGCTTATGCTAAAGACAAACAGTTTAGAGTTTATTATTTGCAAACTGCCATACTTCAGGCTGATATTTCTATCTGGCCAATATCAAGGACCGTAACCTATAACATAAAAGTATCATAAAGCAACGATATGTACTACTGAAAGCCTAAGTAGTAGATAGAAACCAATTATAGTGGCTTGTAATTTTCCCCAGCCAGTCAAATCAATGTGATATAAACTGGTTGAAACTACTTATGCATATTAAATACCATGTGGATGTGTTTGCGTATTCATCTATGACTCAAACCTATTGTGTAACAGCTGACAATACTGTAGGGCTTAGTAGGTCGATGGAGACGTAAATCAATAACCCAATGATTGAAAGTATAGTCCATAAAACACTGCATCACACACATGCTCAAGTGAAAAGTATGTTTAAAAAATGACTGATACAGACTGGGATAAGCCACTGAAAATGAGTGGGTTGGTGTCGTTTAACTTAACGATGAAATCATGCAACTATACAGAAATGCCACATGGGCGCTAGATTCAAGTCTTAGTGAGAACACAATCCCTCATTAGTTTGAGGATAAATCCAGATGATGAGTCTCAAATAAAACGAAACGTACATCCTGAATTCGACCACTAGGCATTACCAAGCAAATTACATCACATCCAATCTTTAGGGAATATCGAGGCACTCCTCAAACGAGCATACATGCGAAGAGAGACCGATCAATCCCGTTCAGTGTAACAATCAACAGAAAGGTAAAAGTATCAGTAAATCAGAACTGTCAGGTAGTGAAAGTAGTTTCATGTACTATAAAAGAAGCCTGAAATAACTCAAAGCTAGCAAGTATGTCGATACTAAGAGTTATTTCAACGAAATGTCTTCATTGATTGCTCAAAACAAGATTTCACTAAAAATAGTTTAAACGGGAGGTCTAGTTGAGCATATAAAGTATCTCAAATGCGATAATTAGTTACGAAAGGAAGGAAAATGAAACGCTTATATTCTTGAAGAAGATGGTAATCATCGTCGTCAGTATATGTGGACGAATATCAAATTTGTACACTGAAGAGATACTGATGGAAAGATGCCTTAGGTTACTTCTAACTTTAGTCTTTCGATAGTTAAAATATGAAAAAAAAGTTGAGGAAAACTAAGATTACCCCCCCCTCCCCCCCTAAAAAATACCACTTAAAACTAAACTTATAAAACTATGCATGGCAAGTGACAAACTTCAAGACTTTTTACGATGAGCTGTTTGACTTTTTCGTTAAGCTGTGTGAATTATCATTGTTATAAAGATAATCATCATTCTCGGGTAACCCCTAGGGCCCGAATAGTTCCCGCTTTATTACAACCACCTAGATAGAGCTACGCAAGTAAATAACCTCGGAGTGAAGCTTAACACACTCAGCTCACTAGACACGCTTGATAGCTGAGCTAGTTGTTTAAGGATATGTTTACAGTCATATTACTAGGGTACAGTGGAGAAATATACCTTGAAATATCCCGGGATGATGTCTTTCTTTAGAAGTCTATTTTAGTCTATACAAAACTGTGAACGTCTAGATCACAAGACACAAGTGTGCACTCGATCTTAACAACTTAGATGGAAAATAAACTGCTGATGACAGTATCTTTGACAGAAGTACTCAAATGCACAGGTTCAAGTCTTTTATTCTGATTAACCTCTTGATAAATTTTTTTAAACCATTGTATGCTATTCAGTTAGAAGTAATTTGACGACTGCTTCAAAACTACGGTTTTAGTGCCACAAACCTTTATCAACCTCATTCAACAGCAACTATATGATGCTACATGTCAAGTGATTCATAATGGAAAGCTCAGTGATGCTTTCGAAGTGAAGTGAAGACAGGAATAAGACAAGGCTGCCGCCTACTATAATCGATGATCTTCCTGATTGTGGTCGACTGGACTGGACTGAATCATGCAAGAAACTGTGGGGAGCGAGAAAATGGGTATACGCTGTTTGACCGATGAAAATACCCTAGAAGATTTGGATTTCGCCAGTGATGATTATTTATGTCTAATGTAGCACAAACTCGAAGATCTACAGGCGAAAAGTAACAGGTTGACAGAAGAGGAAGCGAAAACAGGACTTCAAGTGAACGTACAGAAGACAGGGGTGATGAAGCAACCCAACCAACAACAGTATCAACAACAAGCAGCAATCACCGTCAACAGGAGAAGCCTAAAGGAAGTTGTCTCTTTCACCTACCTTGGCAGGCAGCATAGTTTCAACTACAGGAGGCACAGATAAGGGTGTCAAAGCCAAGATCGGAGAGACAGAAAGACAGGCCTCCATCAATCTGAAACCAGTGTGGAGATCTACTGCACTGCACTCAGCATAAAGCGTGAACAACATCCGGATTTTCAACACTAATGTCAGTCAAGTAAGTTGGTGCTTCTATGTTATGGTTCAGAGAGTTGGTGCGTCACGAAAAGCATTTCGAACAAACTACAGACATACATCATCAACAGCGACTGCCTACGCTCACCCAATACTGCAGATCAGATCAGAAGGCCAGAAAGAATAAGCAACAAGGAACTCTGGCTAGCTGCCAAAGAACCAACCAAGAACCTATCGCCCAACAGATATGCAGAAGAAAGTGGAGATGGATTGGATTGAGCATACACTGAGAAGACCATCCGAGGACATCACACGCCAGAACCTCGAGTGGAACCCAAATGGGAAACGACGAGTTCGTCGTCCTAGGATGAGATAAAGGAGATCGTGTGAGGAAGAAATGAAAGCTTGTGGGCAGGTTCAATAGATAGTAGAGAACAGTGTGAAATGGCAATGTGCCAGTGAAGCCCTATGTTCCACTATGAGCTCAAAAGGACATAATGATAATGATAATAATAATAATCATAAATGCTTTTTAATTAAAAATTCTGAAAAAAGTGCATACTGGACTTATGAGGATCCGGTTTGGTAACTGTAATAACATTTACTGATTCACTTTTGGAATTAGATGTAACAGATATTGATGTGTTTTCAGGAGGAGCAGTTGGTGTGATAAGTCCATATCCACTATCTCCGTTGTTCGACTTCGGTGACATGGGTGGAATGTTCGGAGGTGCACTTGGCCTTACTGGTGGGATATTATCAAAGAATTTTCCTTTGGATAGAGGGAATTGTGAGCTGTCAGCAGAAAACGAGTATGCTGAAGATGGATTCGGTGGTGTTTGATCTATATTGAAACCGAAAATTCCAGGACTTTGAACAGGTGTACGAACCTCAGGAATTTGAGGATTTGGCGAGTCGAAACAAAATCCAATCTGAGGTTGATCCCGCTGTGTAGCAGCAGTAAAATTCTGGCCAGTACCCCATCCATATCCTACAAGACCGGGAGGATAATTCGGGTTCATTGGTTATTCGATGGACAGATCAGATCTATGGTTGAAGACACAAGAAAATAATTAATCAAAGGTTTAGCGAGTGAGTGATTCTTAATGTTTGTGGGTTTTGTAATTAAGCAAGAATTCATGTGAAATGTGAAGGTGATTACTTCTAGTACCGGAGAGCATGTGCATTTCAAGGTCTTTAATAAACGGAGTTGCCAGTCGTGGGGATCACGTAATTTTTCAGGCAACAAAACTTTGTTAGAACTATCAAATGTCATGACTATAGGTGTTCAGATATCATTACATTCACACTATTGATCATACCTCGAGGAACTTATTATATTTAGAGCTGAAATCTGGTACAGCATAGGCATCAAGGGATGAGCCATAAAAACTACTACAAAATCAAGGGGAAGAAGCATCAACTCAGCACAGGTGAAAAGAAAAGACTGAATTGCTTCATATCAGACAAGAAAAAGGCACGGAACGTACTACTACAAACTTCATAGAGCTAATCAACGTGTCTTGAGACGTACTTTCAGCCAATTGAGAAGATCAATAAATAAACTAAAAGAACTACCAAAAGGCTTTCCAATATTTGGACTGATAGCTGAGGGAATGATGCAGAAGTTAGAATCAATAGTTACGCCAATGATTGAGGCGAAAATTTGAATTCATTACATCGATGACACTTTCGTGATAATGGGTGTGACTATCTGAAATAGCCGTTGTTAGGTAGATTCGGTATGTGCAAAATATGTCCAGGTGATGACCTTTCTCTGAGTTTTCACAACCTTATCGACTGACTTGCTTAGTGTACGCTTCGCTTAACCTCAACATACGTCAGCCATGTTAGTCGCAGAAAAACCTAAGAAATTTATGAGCGTCAACGAGTAGTAAAACGACATAATATATCCTCATTGAAATTGATGCATGTAGATGAGGATAACTACAACTTTGATGAGAATAATGTGGAAATACTACAAGCAAGCTCAAAAACTGCAACAGAATTCCTGGAGGTATGGTACTCCAATCAAACGGTAATCAACAGACAAATGAACACTAACCCGATATATATGGATTACTAAGATGAAATAAGCCAACTAGAAATCAATCCAGCAAATCAGTAATCAGACATTAGGTCAACAGCAATGATGACAACAATTATAAAGGTATAACTTTGGTCAAGAAGAAAAGGCCACTACAATCCATAAGCCAATAATACGCAAGGTGGGGAAGTATCCTTCATAAACATTCATACAACTTGGAAATGCTCCACTTCTTTGTGAATTAAATGTTGATGAAATCTCCCAGCTCGGTATCAAAATGTCCAAGAAAAGACGTCAAAGCTAAGGAAACAAACAATTAGCCGACATAAAACTGATATAGACGAAAAAAAGGGAAAACAGCGAACGGAAATAGAAGTCCATTGGTAACGAAGCATTCTGAAGTACACATTCAGAAAGTTATTCACCTCCTTCGTTTTGCTTTCCGGCAACAGACGAAAAGGAGTTACCGTTGTACTGTATATTATTACACTACGATGGGGTGTGACAGCGGTAAGGTGTTCCCCTTTGATGACCAGTAGTGCAACGCTGATGTTGCCTTCCCAACGGGAAGAGGACGGTTAGAAAGGGTTGGGCCCAAATATAACACACCTCTTCGCGGTATGCCGATGCTTGCAACACGGGTTCATAGACAGATTCAAAACAAAAACACCAAAATTGCCAAAATGCCGGCCTTTAGCAGATGTCTCATGGACTTTGAGGTCACACAGATCTTTTTCTCTTTCGGGTAGCTCAAGAAGAAATCACCCATATCAGTGTGCGCAGCTGGGAAGTGTCAACCGTCCATGCGCTTTCAGTAGTGCGAAGGACCCAATCAAACATAACCTATCCCCCTCAATTCTATCTCTTCCTTTGCCTTCATCTCTTCATCCTAATATTAAGCCTATTACGCCTCACCCAACTTCTCACTCTGTAACCACTGCTAACAATCGAACCCATCGACACCGCATTCCTAGTCTCCTAAGACTCAGCTACTGGTTTCATGTAGGAGCTTTCAACGTCCGAACAGCAAGCATCACTCCCACCACTCCAGAACTTTGAGATCTCCAGACATGGATGTATGCTGTCTCTGAGACACGTATACGGGACCCGAGTATGGTTATTGCATTGAACGCGCCTTGTTATAGTAGTGAATCTTCAAAATTCACCTTAAGAGTATCCGGAGATCCAGTAGCTGGCTCTCGTGGACTCACTGGTGTAGTCATAGCATTGAGTTACAAAAGATCGTGAGACTAGGCGATGCCTGCTCGTCATCTCCACCTACGCACCCACCGACTGCAGTTCGGATGGAGTTGAGTATGAATTCTATGAGAAGCTGTCAGTTTTGTCACAGAAAGAAAAACTTTCAGATGTATTCATAATGGCAAGTGATCTTAACGATCAAGTAGAGGAACTTAGGCAATCGGAAAGGTAACTTGGGATATACACGAAATCCCAAGTCAACGAACCAACAACGGTGATCGTCTTCTGCAGTTTTGCTCCAGAAATCACTTGGCGACATCAAACCAACGATGGACACAGGTAAATCACAGTGCCATAAGCCATCGTTCAAGATAGGTAGAAGATTACCGCTCTTTCTGGGCTACCAATTTGGATTCCGATCACGCTCCAATACGACTTTGTGTATGTCTGCATCTTACTGGTCGAAAAAAAATACGCGGTAGTGAGGCACAACTCTATAACGATATGTCGCGATAGGGCATTACATAAAGCACATACTCTCAGGGAGGAAAAATTGGACCTAAGTGCGTTGTTGGCTCTCTGACGTGCTATCTTATAGGGGTTTCTTCGTGAAGACCGCTGTGTTGCTGGCAAAATTGATTTGCTTGCGTGGTTTGCCTGATGGGCGGTCTTGTAGGCCCTAATAAGGTCACCTATCTTCTTACGATATCCTAAGGTAAATAGGTTTAGTTGTTGAAGTCTCCCACGATATGTCTTTCTCCTTAGTGCGGTTTTTTGTATGTTTTCAAAGAGATTCGAGTCTCTCTTAAATGTTGGGGGGGGGGGGGCAACGTAAAGAAGACCTCTGCATGCAGCCGCTCGTAGGATTTGAAAGTGGTGAGGAAGAGTTCGGGGGTGGAGGCGCCAAGCTGTCTACGCATAAAATGCAGAATGAAATTTGCTCTGGTTATCATACTTTTGTAGTTGGAGCTGGTGTTCAAGGTATCGGAGAAGCTGAGCCCTACCCAAATTGACAAAAATGGGGAAAATACCGTTTACGGTATGCTTTAATAGACGCCACATCTATTTGCTAAAATCCTGTTCCAATTCGATAGACTTGATCAATGTAAAGCTTTCCTTGCATGCTATTTCAAACGTACATTAAAATAGGTACCTGTGTGCACGTGTACGATCAAATATTCTAGTACTTGTGCAGATCAGATAGATGAGTGAGCAAACTAAGTTTTGAACATTAGTATTTTAGAGGTTTTATTTACTCGTACCAGTAAAAAATTATACGCGTGAACAGTTGGATGCATCTAAGTAAACACTCACTAAAACTCAGCCGGCCTGATAGCCTTGAGAACTTAAAATTGAACCAAGGCCAATATCTGATCATTATAACAATGTTCCATCTCAAACTATTGTGACGAGCATTCCAATATTCAATATCTTTTGACGAGCTAGTGTAAACCAATTGATTTTTTCGCGCTCGCTTCTAGGTCTTTTCGAACGGTTCCGGGTCTTTGGTGGAATCCAATGCAGTAGGTCCACCCACTCGACCGCTGTAGCCCTGGTTAGCCCGACGGGTGGTTGGGTGTTGTTTACATTTGTAGGCAGTGTTGTTTGTTTGTTTGCTTTTTCTTCCGAGGGCTGTGGCGCAGGTGGGTTCTTCAAATGTCGTGCCAGCAGACAATTGGTCGGACTGGTTGTAAGAAGGAGAAGAAAAATGTGTGCAGAGAAATCAAGAGAGAGAAAGTGCAGAGAGAGACAAAGATAGAAAAAGAAAAGGAAAAAAGGAAGAAGAATAATACATATTTAAAAAGGATGAGGGAAAAGGAAACGGCACAGAAGAATAAACGTTGGTAGGTTCATGGGGAGTAGGTGATAGGGAGGGCTTTTGTTAAAGTTCTGTAACGTAGAGTCAGAAGTAAGAAGAATAAATAACATTGTAGGACGAATGTAAATATAGTGGTTCTTTTAGTAGAGGACGGTAACTGGAGAGGACGTGTACAGGAAGGTACAAGGTTGAGATAAGTTCTCAGTGATAGTGGTTTTACTAAGTGTTCAGTATCGGTTGGTCGTACCGAGTTAGCAAGTCGTGTCAGCCTAGTCCACATCCCAGCTGGATGAGCGCAAACCGTGCGTCGCTATGTAACTGTCCAACCTCTTCTAGCAGAGAGAGGAAGAGTGATCGCACACGCGTTTTCGCTCTTCGGTGAGCAATTCTCTTTGGGTTACCACGAGGATCTCCATGGTGGCCGTTCGGTGGGATTCCACTGTTCGGATGACTTGGGTTACTGAGTATTTTGTAAGCCGTTATTAAGCCACCACGTAATCTGCGGTAGCTTAGGGAGTAAAGCCCTAGATCTTTCAGCCTGTTCCGATATGGTTTTTGCCTTATTCCCACGAAACTCTTTGTACCTCGCCTTTGGACTCTCTCCAGGAGGTTCACGTCTCTCTTCAGATGTGGTGGTGCAGTGACGTTGTGTACCTCTAGGTGGGGTTGTATATAGGTCTTATACAGCTTCAAAAAGAGTTCCGGGGTCAAGGCACTCAGTTGTCTGCGCATGAAGTGCAGTACTGCGTGGGCTCTGGAGGCATCTCCTGGACAATTGGGGCCAGTGTCTAGTTTGTCGGTTAGCATTAGTCCTAGGTCTTTCTCTGTGGTGGTGTGGGAGAGTTGTGTTCCACAGAGAGAATAGGGTACCTTCTGGGAGTCTGTGGTGAGGAGAAACATGGCTAGGCACTTATCTAGGCTAAATGCAAGTCCATTAATATCCACCCACTCTGCAA